ATAATTTAAAAAATTTCTCTAGACCCATTGCATTACCTATTTCTTTTTAGTAAACTGAAGAACAAAATAAATAAATAAATAAACAATCCAACAACCGACGTAGGAGACAAGAGTCAAAATCCGAAAACATGCTCTGCTGGTTGCCCGATCAACACCCATTCCCCCTTTCTTACTGACAGAGGCCTGGTTTTGTGTATTGGCAATATGTCAGACAAAACACTACTTTTCAGGCGCCTTCACAGTTAGGAGTGGCTATGTGACCTAGTTCTTACGTGAATGAGATGTAAGAAGTGATTGGGCGGGGCTTTCAGCAAGGTTCTTAGTATAAAATAAAGGACAGAGTCAGCCTGGTACATGCCTTTTGCCCTCTTTTTTTTTTCCTTACCTGAGGACATTTTTCCATTTTTTGTTCAGAAAGAGCAGGAGGGAGAGAGAGAAACATCAACGTGAAAGGGACACATCGAGTAGCTGCCACCCGCATGACCCAACCAGGGCAGGGGACAAACTGCAACCAAGGTACATGCCCTTAGCGGGAACCGAACCCGGGTCTCTCTGGACCGCAGGCCGATGTTCTAACCGCTGAGCCAAACTGGCCAGGGCCTTCTGTCCTCTTGATAAGCACAGAAGAGGTGCCTGTCTTTCAGTGAGGACAGAAGCTGCACCCTAAGGAAGACAGGAACCTGTCCCTGGACTTCTCAGCTCCAGGCATCTAGTTATTTGAGAAAGACAAACTTCTTACTTAAGTCGCTGGAGTAGGGTTTTTTGTTACTGTAGCTGAATGAAATCATTATATCTCAGGCTCAAATGTTTATTTAATAGCTTTTTTTGGTATCTTCTGAGGAATTCAATGTACAAAGAATTACAAACAATAACATTCAATATCTAGAATGAATAATGGTTAACATTTCTTCATATTTGTTTCTAGATTTGTAATTAAATGAGATTATTATTTATTATGAATACTACAGATATGACTAAATTCACCTCTTCCCAACACCTTTATTCCTATTATTCTTTCAGCCCCAGAAGCAACTATTTGCTAGATATTGAACACATTTTATTGAGTGCCTACACAGGCACTGTGCTAGGAGTCACACGATGGGCCAGACAAATAAGACTCTTTCTGTCATGGAACATGGAATACAATAAGAATAGAAGACTACAGATATCGAGTTCAGGATTTAGGGAGGCTATGGTTTGCTGTCACAGATCCCTGCGCCCAAAGCAATAGAGTCAATCAAAGAAAACAACTTGATTGATGTATCTAGGGAATCCTCAAGGGACCAGATGCCAAGAAAGAGCAGTAGTCTGCAATCGAGAGACTAGGTTCTATCTGTAATTCTTCAGCAAAGTAGATTTGGAGAAGTAACATGAGGTACTTGGTCAAATTTTCCTGAACCCACTTTTCTTCTTCAGAAAACAAGCACATTGAGCTTGATGATCTTTAAGACTATGCTTAGCTATAAACTATTTTTGTGATTATATTGAACAATGATGGGTATGAAATATACCAAACAAGACTGTCTTGAAATTTATATTCTAAGAGTTCAGGTCAGAGAATATATTAAATAAATGCTCAGGAAAAACAAATCACAACTCCTCACCCCCAAATTAAACAAATAAACAAACAAGAAAACCACCCTGGAGGGAGCTGTGATATTACAGAAGAGAAGAGTTCTGTTTTGGTCCTGGCTGCCACTTAACAGATGGATAAGCCCAGGCTAGATGCTCCGTGTCACTAAGTTTTAATTTCCTTATTTATGAAACGGGCTATTACTCTTCCCTCACAGTGCTGCTGTGGAAATTGCCTTGTACTCTGTAAAGCCCCTTATGATTTGATACCAACAAGATACTGAAAATGGCTTATACTATCTCAATCCTGCAAGGAAAAGAACGCGAGTGTGCTTTGATATCTTCAGTTTAATTCCTCATCACATAAGGCTGATAATCTTTTGAGTTTCCTTCTCCTTTGTAACCCATTTTCTTTTTACACAAGAGAAACAAAAACAGCTAAAATTTAAATAACCTCTGTTTGTTTTAGCTCCAGTAAAGTTTTGGGGAAGAGGGTGGGCGGTTAAAAGGAAGCTGAGCCTTGGCCGGTGTAGCTCGGTAGGTTAGAGCGTCGGCCTGTGGTCGGGAGAGACCCGGGTTCGGTTCCCGTTAAGGGCATGTACCTCTGTTGCAGTTTGTCCCCGGCCCTGGTTGGGTTATGTGAGAGGCAGACACTTGATGTGTTCCTTTCACATGGATGTTTCTCTTTCTCTGTCTCTTCCTCTCTCTCCTTCCCACTCTATCTGAACAAAAAATGGAAAAATGTCCTCAGGTGAGGATAAAAAACAAAACAAAAAAAAGGAAGCTGAGTTCAAATAAAGTGTGTGGATTACAACATTTACCCGTGGTCTCTGATTGTTCATATTCAGTACTGTATTGTGAATAATCTAGTTTTTGTTTTCTGACCTGTCTGTAGAAAAAAGTATAGATATGAACTCTGTCTACATACATACGCAGTCATCAGTTGATGACACAGTAGTGACTTTAGTTCTCTCACCCACAATTATAAAGTTTCACAATAAGAGGAACTTTGGCTATGGGAGTGGCTCTACAGATGGTAAAATTGCCCTTATCCATTTCCACCAGCAGATGTGTTTGAGGAAAAGAGATAATCCTTTTATTATAGCCAACCTAGGTAACACCTGTACTTTGACCAATTAAACAGGGCAGCCCATGTTAGCCTGAAGTCCCGGGGGGTGGGGGGTGGGGTGGGGGGTGTGTGTGTGTGTGGAGTGGGAAGAAAGCAGAATCCTTTCTCTTTACCGGTTTTCTCTCCAGCTCTTGCCAAATTGCAACTATTTCAAAGCGCGCTGTTTGCTGAGATTAGGCAAGAGACACAACCAAGGACATACTGGGGAAAACACCACCTAGAATAGCTACTGCTAAACGTGAGATTCAACAGCTTCACCTCGCCCATCACAACCAACATCCATCCGCCAGATGGGCGAGGAAGGAACCCACAGAATATAAGGCGAAATGCACAGACGAGAAAAGTAACCGGTAATACTGTTTCCAGCTCCCATGGAAGAGGTGAGAGGGACACAGGACAGGAAATTGTATGCTTGGCTCCCAAAACACCAGAACAAGTAAGCACAACCAGAAACCACGCCTCACTCCGCTTCTGTCAGGCACGCTCCCCTTGTGAAAGCAAGGAGCAATATTGGGTACAGCCGATATAAAATTCTATCTGTTCCAGAAACACCAGGCGCAGAGGGTAAGCGCGCCCTGGCCGAGCCTGCGAACACGGAGAAACTCCGTCCGAAGCGCACCGGCCTCCTATCTCTCAGTGTGGTGTACCAGGGTTCGTTTCTTACGAACACTGAGCCATACTACCTATTAAAATGGTTGGGAAAATACAGGTACAATTCTTAAGCCACTTTATGAGCCAGACAGAGTGATGAGCGGGGCAGTGGGGCAAATGGTCAGGGAAGAGGAGGGCGATGGTAGAGACTGAGGGGCAGGGAGGAACGGGAAGGGAATGGTCATTTCTGGACTTTTAGAAGAGGTGCCTGGCTAAATTTTAAAACGGTCTGTTTCATAAAGCCACGGGTTTCATTTACTGAAACACAAATGTTTCTTAATCTAGGGCTGCTGGGTCCTATCTCCTCTAGACCCAGACAGGGTCACCTAAACCTATTTTAAGGTCCTACCTAAACCTCTCCAACCACGGCCAGTCTCACCCCTTCGCTCCTGAGCCGTTTCTACCCCGTGGCCTGGAAACGGAGGGAATATTGCCCTGGGAGACTCGACAAATCAATCGCCTCTATTATTATTAGCTTCCAGACTTCCTGGCTTCAGGGCAGCCTCTGGCTGGGGGACTTGTGGATGGGCGCTGACGAGGGGACACGGGAGGGTGTTAAGCCCACCGTCACGGCGAGCCCACCGAAAGCAGCTCTGGGCCTCGGGCCAGACAACAGCCATCACCGCCCAGGTGTTCCCTACTCCTCGGGGTGCAGCGAATTCATCCCAGGGCCGGGCCGTCCGACAGAGGGGTGCGGGGGAGCTTCCTCAACCACGAGCCCCCCAGCTTTTCCTGCCTAGGCAGTGTCGGGCCCCTCCGCGTCCCCACTCTCTCTGCGTCCCAGCTCTCCTGGTCCCAGCTCTCCCCGTCCCGGCTCTCCGGGTCCCAGCTCTCCCCGTCCCGGCCCTCCTCCCCGTCCCAGCTCTCCGGGTCCCACCCTCTCTGCGTCCCGGCTCTCCGGGTCCCAGCTCTCCGGGTCCCAGCCTCCTCCCCGGCCCAGCTCTCCGGGTCCCACCCTCCTCCCCGTCCCAGCTCTCCGGGTCCCACCCTCTCTGCGTCCCGGCTCTCTGGCTCCCAGCTCTCCGGCTCCCAGCTTTCCGGGTCCCAGCTCTCCGGGTCCCAGCTCTCCGGCTCCCACCCTCTCCCCGTCCCAGCTCTGCGGGTCCCGGCCCTCCTCCCCGTCCCAGCTCTCCGGGTCCCAGCTCTGCGGGTCCCGGCCCTCCTCCCCGTCCCAGCTCTCCGGGTCCCACCTTCTCTGCGTCCTGGCTCTCCGGCTCCAGCTCTCCGGGTCCCACCCTCCTCCCCGTCCCAGCTCTGCAGGTCCCAGCTCTGCGGGTCCCAGCTCTCCGGGTCCCAGCTCTCCGGGTCCCAGCCTCCTCCCCGTCCCAGCTCTCCTGGTCCCATCCTCTCTGCGTCCCAGCTCTCCGGATCCCACACTCCCTGCGTCCCGGCTCTCCGGGTCCCACACTCCTCCCCGTCCCAGCTCTCCGGGTCCCAGCTCTCCCCTTCCCGGCCCTCCTCCCCGTCCGAGCCCCTCCCCGTTCAAGCCCCCTCCGCGTTCCGGCCCTTCTCCCCGTCCGGGCCCCCTCCCGGTCTGAGTCTCTCCAGGTCCGAGCCCCTCCGACTACCGGCCCTCCCCCGAGTCCCACACTCCTGGTCCCAGCCCCTTCTCGGCGTCCGAGCCCCCTGCCCACAACTGGCATCTCACCTGTGCTGAGTGCCTCCAAGCGACCCGTTGGCGTGCTGCCGCCACCCAGCAGGTGCGTGCGCCCCACCCGCCAGGGCCGAGCCACTAGCTGGCCCTCCCCGCCCCTGACCGCTTCTGACCGCCCCTCCCCGCCTCTGCCCACGTGCTGTTCCTCCCTTCTCAAAGGCTTTCCTCCACTCCCCTGACCTCCAGCTGACTTGTTCCCTGGCCCCAGACACTCCCTAAGGTGTGTGCTCCAACAGGGGCCGGTCCCCGGGCATCCAGGGCAGACTGCGACCAACTGTGACCTCCTAAGGTGCAAAGCAATTACAGAGCCCGAAAGGACTGGCAGCAGAGGATGTCCCAAGGAAGAATGTGTCATATCCTGGACCAGAATCCAGTTTTGTAGTTTAAGCGTGGTGCCGCATGGGTGCGTTCATTCTTTCGTTCCCTCGTTTATTCATTCATCAAATCTGCCGAATGCTAGGTCGGGACGGTTCAGGTGCTGGGGTAAGAGCTGCGAAGGAGAAAAAGTCCCTGCCTTAAAGGAGCTACTTCCTACTAAGAAATGTATATATTTTCTTTGGAGCATCATGTGGTCTTAATGCTCTCATCTGTAAGTTAAGGGTTGGTTGGCTTAGTTGGATAGTTTCCCATCCTGTTGCTCATAACCCGCTGTGGAAGTTGAAAGAATGCAAGAGCTAAGGCTCCATCTCAGACCTCCTGATCAGGCCCTGGGCGGGGTGCTGCACATGTACCTCTCACAGGCTTCTCAGGTGACCAGAGGAAGCCAGGGGTGAGAACCTCCGTTCCGGATCTCTAAGATGCCTTCCAGTACCCATTGTTGAGGGCCCTAGAAACCAAGGAAGTCTTGGTGGAAGAGATGCTGTCGTTAGGTTTTCAATATACACCAGCTGGGTGGTAGGGAAGAGGATCCCAAGTGCAGCTTCTTTTAATCAAATAGCTTTCCTTCTCTGTAAAGTCAAAGGAAGGCTCTTCTGAGGATAAGGCATACTGAGCAGATCTCCTCTATGAAAGAGTAGGTGCACTCTCCTCCCGGGGAGCATGTCCACACCGTTCTGTTCCCCTTTCCCCCTACAGGTGTGCATCTTCTCAACTCTAAGGGACCCCAGGAGATTTGCAACCAGGGGAACAATGGGCAGTGGCTCTTTGTCCTGGGATAACCCCCTGAACCTGTCTCCAAGGTCCCCTTTTCTCTGACTCACTAGGGAGCCGACAGCAGCCCCACTTGGGCTCAATTCTTTCCCATAACTTTCTAGGGAGCCAAAGCAGCCCCATTTAAACTCTCTCCTTCAGCTTCTTCTATCCCAAGCCCTTTGTTGTTTCACTGTCCCTGGCTTTAATAAATGTACCCTCAAACTAAATACATAAATAAATAAATACATAAATAAAAAAATAGTGAATGCAGACTGATGGAAGGAGATAATGACAGAGACACTGATCCCATGAAAAGCTAATGGAACCACACACTTCAGATGGATAATGTGCCAGAGCCGGAGCTGGGAGAGCACCTCTTTAAATTCCCATCAACTCAGGAATTTATTTAACTACCAGGCCTCATCCAGGCACTTGCTCACACCCATTGTTTTTTAAGTGAATAATAAAGTGGAGTCTTGGATGCCGGTTACAACAAATGCGTGACCTCTTAGTTATAGTTTTTGGTGGGTAGAGGTGCTTCATAACATTGAAAAATCAGAACTAGGAAAATGATCTCTGCCTCAAATTATAATATCCAAGTGCCAGAGCAAACCAGCTTTCACAAAACAAGTTTGACCATCTTTAACTTGATCTGTAAAAATAATGTAAATCATCCTAGCCATGTGGCTCAGTGGATCGAGCATCGTCCCATGGACTGAGAGGTCCCAGTTCGATTCCTGGTCAGGGCACATGCCTGGGTTGTGGGCTCAATCCCCAGCAGGGCGTGTGCAGGAGGCAGCCAATCGATATACTTCTCTCACATTGATGTTTCTATCTCTCTCTCCCTTCCTCTCTCTCTAAAATATCAATAAAAACATATTTTAAAAAATTGCAAAAGACTTTAGAAAATAATGTAACTCAAATAGCTTAAATCAAACAGTTAACAAAAGATAAATTACTAATATATCAACAACTATAATGCAATAGGAGCAGCTAACAACACTTATAAAGCTATTTTAATATAATAGATTAGTGTCTAGAAACAGATCCAATCATATGTGGGCCTTAATAAACACGAGGCATTTTAATTTAATAAATGGTTTATTTTATAAATATTGCTGACACGATTGACTGTTCTTTTGGAATATCTTATCAGAAAATTGCTCAGAATCTAATCTCTCTTGGCCATCATGGTACTAATTGGGCACATGGTCACCCAGAATGAGTGTATTTTTCCCAGTCTTCCTTTTAGTTAGGATGGGCTATGTGACTAAGTTCAGGACAATAGGCTATTAGAAGTGTTACATGCAACTTCTAGGTAGAGTCCTGAGAGGAAGTGGGTGTGTCCATCTTCTCTTCTGCTGCTGAATGGAATCTGGACAGGCAGTGAGCCATCTTGGACCATGAATGGTGAAGTAAGGATAAAAGAGGCTGGCTTCTTGGGTGATTTCATGCAGAAGTTTCCACACCAGTCCTGGAATGCCCCTAAAATCACATCCTGTATAAGTCACAGCTATTTGAGATTTTTGTTATGTGCAGTCAAATCCATAACCTAACTACTGCAGAACATCTTCCCTCCTGTTTTATACCACGTACAAACAAAAATTAAAAATGGCTTAAAGAAGCATCTAAATGTATCATTACTTTGCCCAGTAGTCACAGTTTGGAGATTCCTAATACATCATAAGAACCTTAAAGGTTCTGACTGCAGCATTATTTATAATAGCAAATGTTTGTCACTATGGGAGTAAATATAGTATAGCATGCCCTTTATATGATAGATTGTGTAGTTATTTAAAAGGACAAATTAGATTTATATTTACTGATCAGGAAAATAGTTAAAAACTTTGCAGACTAGTGAGAGATTTGTGTGTGTGTGTTAAAATATTTATAACATAAAAATTACCATTTTAATCATTTTTTATTTTTATTTTTTAGCGGTACTTTTCCATTGATTTTTAGACAGAGTGGGAGGGTGGGAGGGAGAGAGAGAGAGAAACATCAACGTGAGAGAGACATATTGACTGGCTGCCTCCCGCAGGACCCCCAACCAAGGCAGGGACCAAACTGCACCTGAGGTACGTGCCCTAGACCGGAATCAAACCCGTGCTTCTTTGGTCTGTGGGATGATGCTCTAACCGCTGAGCCAAACTGGCCAGGGCACCATTTTGATCATTTTAAATTATACACTACAGTGACATTAAGTACATTCACATTATCATGCACTCATCACCACTGTCTCCAGAACTTTTTCATCATCCTATATTGGAACTGTATAGCTTTTAAATAATAACTGCCTGTTTCTTGCTTCCCTAGCCCCTGACAACCAGTGTTCTACATTCTGTCTGTATAAATTTGACTACTCAAGGTGTTTCTTACAGTATTTGTTGTTGTTTTTTTTCGTATCTGGCTTAATTCACTTAGCATAATGTCTTCAAGGTCACCCATGCTGTAGCACGTATCAAAATTTTATTTCTTTTTAAGGCTGAATAAGATTCCAATGTATGTATATACATGTATATACTACATTTTGTTTATCCATTCATCTGTTGTTTCCACCTTTGGCTATTGTAAATGCTGCTCCTATGAACCTTTGTCTACAAATATCCGTTTGAGCTTTTGCTTTCAATTCCTTTTGTGTGTATACTCAGGAGTGGAATTGCTGAATCAAGTGTATGTTTAAGTTTTGGAGGAACTGCCCTACAATTTCCATAGCAGCTGCACCATTTTACATTCCCATCAACAATGCACAAGGCTTCCGGTTTCTCCACATCCATGCAAACTCCTCTTCTCTGCTTTTGGATAATAGCCATCCTAATTGGTGTGGTTTTGACTTGCGTTTCTGTAATGATTAGTGCTGTTGAGCATCTTTTCATGTAATTATTGACCCTTGTATATCTTCTTTGAAAAATGTCTTTGCTAAGTTTTGAATTGGATATATTGTTTTGTTGTTGCTGAGTTTTAGGAGTTTTCTACATATTCTAGATATTAAACTATCTATTTGTAAATATTTTCTCCCACTTTATGGGTTACCTTTTTACTCTGTTGATAGTGTCCTTGGATGGAAAGATGTTTAAATTCTGATAAAGTCCAATGTACTGTTTTTGCTTCTGTTCCCAGTGCTCTTGATGTCATAGTAAGAAATCAATGCCAAATTCAATGTAATGACGATTTCCCCTTATATTTTCTTTTATGAGATTTATAGTTTTAGCTCTTATGTTTAGATATTTTATTCACTTTTAGTTAATTTTTGTATATGGTATGAGGTAAGGATCCAACTTCATTCTTTTGCATGTGGTTATTCAGTTTTCCCAGCATCATTTGTTGAAAAGATTGTCCTTTCCCCATTGAATGGTCTTGACACCCTTGTCTCTGTACCGCAGGCCGATGCTCTAACCGCTGAGCCAAACCGGCCAGGGCATTGACACCCTTGTCAAAATCACTTGACCTTGGCTATATAAACCCTATATGCAAGGGTTTATTCCTGGGATCTCTGTTTTATTACATTGGTCTATATGTCTGTCTTTATGCCAGGAAGACACTGTTTTGATTATTGTAGTTTTGTAGCAAATTTTGAAATCAGGAAGTATGAACCTTCCAAATTTGTTTGTCATTTTCAAGATTGTTTTGGCTAGTTGGGGCTTTTAAAGATTCCATATGAATTTTAGGATACATTTTCTATTTCTTCAAAAAGCATCTTTAGGAATTTGATAGGCATTGCATTGACTCTATAGATTGCTTTGAGTAGTATTAACATCTTAAATTTAGTCTCCCAATCCATAAACACAAGATGTTTTCCCATTTATTTATGTCTTCTTTAATTTCTTTCAGCAATAGTTCATAGTTTTCAGTGTACAAGAGTTTCACCTTTTTGGTTAAGTTAATTCCTACATATTTTATTCTT